GCCGGCAGCAGCAGCGCCAGCAGCAGCAGGGACCCGCGGGGTGCCATGGCTGGGGTGGGGGGCAGGGGACAGAGGGGTCCCTGTCCCACCGGCATCCACCCCAGTGGGTGCCCTGGGGAGGGGATGCTGAGGGCTTGGGGGTGGAGGTGCCGGAGGGGATGAGCACCCATGGGTGCTGCCTGGGGTGGTTTGGGTCCAGCAAAGATGGGCACCCTGTTTGGGGTGGGTCCCATTTGGGATGGATTTGGGATGGAGGCACCAGAGGGGATGAGCACCTGTGGGTGCTGCATAGGGTATGTTTGGGGATGGAGATGTTGGGGGGCTGAGCACCCATGGGTGCTACATGGGGTGTTTGGGGGTTGGAGGTGTTGGAAGGGATGAATACCCATGGGTGCTCTTCCAGGTGGCTTTAGGATGGAGGTGCTTGAGGGGATGAGCACCCATGGGTGCTGCATGGGGTGGGTTTAGGATGGAGATGCTGGAGAGGATGAGCACCCATGGGTGCTACATGGGGTGGGGTTGGGTTTGGAGATGCTGGAGGGGATGAGCACACATGGGTGCCCTTCGGGGTGGGTTGGGGTTAGAGATGCATGAGCACCCGTGGGTGCTCTTTGGGGTGGGTTGGAGTTAGAGGTGCATGAGCACCCATAGGTGCTCTTCGGGGTGGGTTTGAGGATGGAGATGCTGGAGGTGCTGAGCACCCCGGGGTGCTGCTGGTGTTTGGGTCCAGCAAGGACACACACCCCAGGGTGCCATTAGAGTCTGATTTGGGGTGAGCAGGATCACCCACCCCGGGGTCCCCTCCTGCTGCCAGCACCCACCCACCCAGCACCCACTGCTGGGGCAGCCTCACCTGGTCAGGAGGACGGTGGTGGTGGTGATGATGGCCGGCTGGTGTGGTGGCCGGCTGTGCTGGGCACTGCTATTTGTAGGGCTGGGAAACGGTGACGTCGGCCCCGCTGCCGCTCCCACGGGGGACCATGACCTTGCTGATGGCGTTGGCCTCCTCGTGCCAGCTCCCATCGTCTCCTTCCCCACAGATCCCCTTGGCACTGTGGGACAACACCCTGACACCTCTTTTTTTTTGGGAGGGGGGTGGTGGTGGTGTCTGCCCTGCTGACCCCGCTCTGGCTCGTCACCATGGGCTCATTTTGCGACGCGGCTCCTGGCAGCTGGGAAAGGGCTGGATAGAGCCCAGTCAGTCCCCAGCTCCGTGGCCAACATGCTCCGGAGCCGCTTTGCAGCCCCCGGGGATGCTCTTCGGGAAGGGGAGGGAGCAAACCCTTGGTGCCTCAGTTTCCCCACCCAGCACCAGACCCGATTCCACCAGTTCTCCCCCAATTTCAGCTTCATCAACCCCAAATTGGGGCCAGATGCTGGCAACGGCCACGCAGCCCAAAACTCCCGGCTTGAGGGATGCGATGGAGCCCGGGAAAGGGATTTAGGCAGGATCTGACCCCGGATTATCTCCAGCAGCTGCTCGCGTGTCTGCTATTTGCAGTCGGATGTGGCAGCAGGATGGGGCCACGGCAGATGCCGCAGCGAAAGGTCGGGGCAGCTCCTCAGACCCCGAAACTCCTCCGTCCCCGCAACGATCCCAGGAAGGAAGGAAAAAAGGAGGAAAAAACTAATTAGTATCACTGGGGAGCAGCTGGCGCCGAGCGGGCGGAGGGATGGAGGCACTTGGGGTGGTCCATGTCCCCAAGGAGAGCATCCACGGTGGGCAAGCATGCCCCCCCCCCAATCCCAGGAGGGTCCCAATTTCTTTTGTAGTCAGCATATTCATTTCCGAGCATGCCTTACAGCTTTGGCAAAAAGCCCCCCCCAAATTCAGGAGTCAAAGTTTATTAACGAAGCGATGACGTTGGGGTTCATGATGGGGTGCCAGGTGATGGAACGGGGATGACAGCAGCAGTGTGGTCATTTTTTGGGGGTATTTTGGGCTGCTGGGAGGGGTCTCTTTGCCTGTGTGCCCCCACCGAGCCACCCCCACCCTGGCAAATCCCCCCTTTTAATATACAAGTGCTGCACCCCTTTGGGACTTTTTTTACCCTTAGGACTTTCCTTGGCCCTTAGGACTCTTCTCGTGCCCTAGCCCATCACCAGCATTAGGGTTTCCTTAGATTTTTCTTCTGGGAAGGGAATGATAAAAATCAGCATTATTTTGCCTCTTTCTCCGAGAACCCAAATTCATCTCCATGATGGAGCCTCCACTGAAAAAAAAAAAATAAGGAAAGAGGAAAACCCCCTAAACTTGTCTGGAGGGTAGCAAAAGCATCCCCCAGGCTGGAGAAGGGTCTCCCTCAGCTTTAAAAACCTATGAATGCTTTAGCAGTGACCATCTGGAGACCTTGAGGTTTTAAACTGCAGGAGTGTAGGTTGAGATTGGACATAAGGAAGAAATTCTTTATGACAAAGGTGGTGAGACAGTGAAAGAGGTTCCCCAGAGAAGCTGTGGATGTTCTCTCATTGGAAGTGTTTGAGGTTAGGTTGAAGAGGGCTTTGAGCAACCTGATCTAGTGGAAGATGTCACCGCCCATGGCAGGTGGTGGGAACTAGATGATCTTTGAAGGCCCCTTCCATCCCAAACCATGTCATGGTTCTGTGATTTGCATTTGGAGCTGTTTTGGTGGAGCCTCATCCAACCAAGAGCAAGAAGTCACCTTGATTACTTTCAATTTCTGGCAGGAGGTAAGACCCCCTTGCCCCACTGATGGGCAAGTTGTTCAGGCTCTGCTCCTACCCTTCCCAAGTTTAGGACCATGCATGCCCTTCCCAAGAAGCAGAAACACAGAAGCATTATTGGCAGGGACCTCTGAAGTCTTCAGTCCAACCTCCTGCAAGACGCAGGACCAACACCAAAGTTAGATCAGGCTGCTTAGAGCAACCAGTTGAGTTTTGAAAATGTCCATGGACAGACCTTAGATCGGATCCTGGGCTGCATGAAAAGCAGTGTGGCCAGCAGGTCGAAGGAGGTGATTCTGCCTCTCTGCTCTGGTGAGACCACACCTGGAGTGCTGGATCCAGCTCTGGGGCACCCAGCATAAAAAAGACATGGACCTGTTGGAGCGGGACCAGAGGATGCCACGAAGATGGTCAAGAGGCTGAAGCATCTCCCCTATGAAGACGGGCTGAGAGAGTTTGGGGAGGGGAGGGGAGAGAGGAAAGGAGAGGAGAGGAGAGGAGAGGAGAAGAGAGGAGAGGAGAGGAGAGGAGAGGAG